AACACTTTATAATACCTTTTTGCATAGGCCCTAAGGCCTTCATCCTCACTGATTCTCAGAGCCATCAGGGGCATCTACCCTTAATGGCTGTAGTTTGTTTGTCACGAACCTGGCTACGAACATCTCGGCCAGGCCTTTCCAGGTCTTCACACTTCCTTTTGGCAATTTGTGAAACCAATTCGATGCAATTTCCCCAAAGGATGAGGGGAACACCTTGCAAAGTAACGACTCGTTCCCAGTGTACAATGCCATCGAGTTTAGGTATAAACCGACGTGAAAGTTGGGGTTCGACTTACCATCGTATATCTAGAACCTCCACATACTGAATCTTTTTGAGGCCTCAAATTTGTCCAACTCCACCGAGAATGGTGTTCTCGGCTTAATAGGGGAAGTTACCTCAGCATTTTGTTGCTTCCTCTTGAGGTAATCTCTCAAGTCCTCTTTGATCCAACCAGGAGCTCGGCTATCTCCTGACTTCAGCCTTTTAGGCGCACTACTCTCAGCTTCGTTGTGAGCCCTCTTCGACTTTTCTCCATCAGTTACGTCGAAGCACAACTCCTGCCTTTGAACATGCCGATGTTCTTTGGGGTCTGCTTCCTTGGTGCGATGTGTCCTTCGAGATTCTTCCCTTCTCTCCTCTCCTCTCCCAACCTCCCTTGAAGGCCAGTGAGAGTGTTTTTCGCTCCGGGTGTGTTGAGGGGCTACAGGGATTGTTTTTTACCCTTCCTTCTGGGCATTGGCCGCTGGAATCGGCGTGCCCTACAGCAGGAACGGTGGCTGCATGATGTTATTTTGCATCATGAAATTAACTACTGATTGCAGGTCCGCCATTTTGTCCACCATTCCCTTCATCTCGTCGTCCCTCCACAGGCATCTATCTTTCCATACCTAGAGGTCATCCTCGTTATAATACCCGCTCCGGTCCGATTTCTTTGGTACGCCGCCTTCCTGGCCGACGTCCTTTCCTCCGTGATTCTTATCACAAGTCTCTTTATTGCAGTTGTCTTCTTCGATGTCAGGGTCAGTATGTTTCCTACTCTCAATAGGGGTGTCGTTCCCAACCTTCTCTTTCTGTCCATCGTTGGCCATCTATTCTCCTTTCTTTCCCATAGACGGCGCCAAATTATGTGTGTCAATTTCCGACCACACTGCCAAATTAGTACTTAGCTGGAGAGCACTGGCAGAATAGACTAAGCCCGAACGACCTACAACAGAAAGAAGAGATTCCGGCGGCGGTTCATCCACTCGGGGACACTCCGACGATCAAGTCAGTTATCTCTCAAAGATAGCCAAAGTGCTTCATTCACTATTCTGAATATAAATTGCGTACCTTAGACTCATTGGGGATGCCTCTCTTTTATAGCCAACTCAATCCTAGTCCCAATAGAAACCTAGCTTCAATGGACTTCAGCTCAGTGCTTATCTTAGACTCTTCAATAGATAAAGATAAATTCCCTAAAAGTTTTATCCTTATCCAGACTGAGGTCCTTTCTCATTCTAGGACTCTTGTCCTTTATTCGGTTATCCCAGATTTCGATATCTTCGGAGATAACCTCAGCCTAGCCGAGATGATCTCGGCGTCATGACCAGGACACGTGGCACCTCAGCTGACACGTCGGCGTCACCTTGGCCACATGTTGGTACTCAGAAAATATATCCCCACAATGAAAATGGTGATGCATAGAGTTGATGTCTTTTTTTTTCCATAAAGCAGGCAAAAAATTGATTGTGGCAGCTAGGGGTGAGCAACGGATATACCAATCCGCCGCATTTTGGACGGATGCGTGATGACGAGCGGACGGTTACGGATTGATTTTCTCCAATCTGCCAATTTGGCGGACGAATGGCAGATTTGAGATTCTTTTGGTCGCAACCGAACCGCCAAACCGCGAGCACCCCTAGTAATTTATAAGACTGTGTGTTTTCAGTTTGTTTAAATATATTTGTTTATGTTTTCAATTAAAAAAGAGTTTAAATATTCTGTTGGAAAAAAGTTTTCAACTTGAATATCTTTTTTGAATTGAAAAAAATAAACGTATTATTTATATATATCTTTTGGTTTATAAATCTATCTCTAAAAATAATAAATAGAAAATATGATATATACTGGTTGGTTTTTATTTTCAAAACAGATATAGATGTAACAATACAAAGACATACAATCTCTACTACTGCTCTGTTCATGATTTTGATGGTTTGAATTGTTTTTATATTTTAAGAACCACATATTGTAATAATTTATGTGGATGAGGTATACTGTGATTGTAGTATCTGGATGAGGCATGCAGTGATTGTGATATTCTAAAATTTCAAACTTTCTTGCTTTGGATGAGGCATGCAGTAATTGTAATATTTTTTTAAGTCATTGACTGTAATATATATATTTTTTTTAAGGAAGTGCACAAGTTAAATTATGTTGAAAATTTATAAAATTTTAAACCGTTAAACCGATTCTCATCTATCCGCCAAACTGTCAATCTGCTCAATCTACATCCGCCGGATTGGCGGATGGATGCGGATTGATTTTCTCTAATCCGCCAATCTGACGGACGGATGACGGATTGGAGGTTCCGTGGCCGCAACCGACCCGCGCCCACCTCTAGTGACAGCTCAGCAGCAGTTCCAATGACAAGAGACAACTCTCCAGTGTTTGCTTGGGGGATTTGGGGAAGAATTTGAAAAGGGAAAGGGAAAAAGAAAAGGGATGTGAAACTAGGTGAAATGTAAGTATATTTTATTCACATTTCACCTACATTTTCTATTTCCCTTTTCAAATCCCTCATTAAATCCCCTCACCAAACTCAACGTTACTGCTAAGGTGAACCAAAAATGGCAGGCACTGCCATGTTTGTTTCCATGGATTACATTAGACTTATTTAGTTTCAGGACTAATAATCTTTGGATTACAAATTCTTTTGGATTACATATCTTATCTATGTTTGGACTGTCCCTTAATTAGGATTCGCACGAGGGGTATATAGTAGAATCTCATCCTATCCCATGTAATGACTACATTTCATCTCATGGGTCGTTCTTTTCTCCCATATTATGATCATTTATTGGTACTGTTTTGGATTTAAAAATAAAAATAAATAAATAAAAACCACGAGAAGATTATATAAAAATGGCAACTTAAAGAGTTGTGAAGGCCTTTGCATTCATCATTCTGCTTTATGGATATATAGTAGATTTGCAAAATCCTAAAGAACTCTGTTTTTCCAGAGTGCCTTGTATGGTTGTCAAAGAGTTTGAAGATGTTTTGGTATGATAAAATCATACTGAGAACTTAAAATAGACATTTAAGGTTGGTGATAAATTTAAGGATTAACAAATGCATATACTGCCAACTGGGCTCTTAATATTCAAATGGAAAGAATTTCTCACTTCTTTTTTAACTAAAATAGATTTACTGCCAAAGAATCTGTCAACGAATTTGAAACTTCTGTTTTCCTGATCGAACACTTGATGACAATGTAACTCTTCACTTTAAATTGTTGCAATTCTTTGTCCTGTCCAAAACATGTGTTTTTGAAAGAAATTTGTTTCACATAGATAAAATTTACATTTTTTTCTTTATTAATTCCCATTTTGTGGAAAATTCAATTTGCAAAGTTCAACAAACTTTGTTTGCTAGAAAAAGCTTTGAAATTGGAAGCAACACTGAATTTACAACAGATAAATCAAGGCTGGATGTTTTAATTGAAGCATTCAATTCTTTACCAAAACCAATAAAATGCTCTTTCTCCCTCAACATAAAATTCTATGTTATTTCTATTAAACAAAATAGGCTGTTTGATACGACTCTGAAGCTTCGAAATAGATAATCGTTTCTGTCATGTAAGCTATCTCAACAAATTTAGAGAATCATCATCAATCAATCATTTGTGCATTCGCTTGAAAACAAAAAGTCAGCACCTAATGGGCAAATCTTTCTGTGGTGGGTAAAAATCAAATCATTTAAGTTGCGGCGGTGATGCGGGGGAGATGGCTCGATTCTTAACCTGAAAAACACTTGGATAAAGGTAAAGGGGGTGCCTGGAGCAGCCTGGGGACCCTCCGATGCCTAAGTTAGTGACAAAGTTAGACAAAAGTGTAGGATTATCTTAGTGAGGTTCAGGTAGAAGTGTTTGCATACTTCTATTGTGCTGTTTACTTCCACTTTTATAGCTTGCTCCTACTAACCGTTGTTGGCTGTTAGGCTTTCCTCCACTCCTCCCATCAGCCCCTTTTCCTTATGGATTGTGCTCCACCAGGTGCGGATTTCTAGGAGTTAGTTGAGCCTAAAATAAAAGGATGTGGGTTGAGTGGGTTTGTGCCCTTCTTGGGCGCTCTTTCTTCTGCCTCTTTTTTGTCCTAAAACTTCTCTGGCCTAGTCTGGACCTGGGCTATCACGCTAGACTAAAACAATTCTGGGCTGATTTTCCATCTTGCTGGCGAGGTTGCCTTCCTGCTGTCAGCCCAGAAATTCCAGTCCTGCCTTATGTTGACTCGTTTTTTGCCTTCCACACTTTCAATGGAGCATAGCGACCGTTTCTGGAAACAGCAGCAGTAGTCAAAATTTCCAGCAATCACATCTCGTTTTTGGCAAGAGGAAAGTTGATTTCTCTTCATAGAAACAAACACTGCCAATTTTCTCCTCTTTTTTTTTGTCCTCTTTGGATATATCTTCTTAGCACCTAATACAGACAGCAAACTGAGTAGGTCTGCTTGCACTATTTTCTTTCCAAATTTAACAGCTTCCCTCCATACATGTCATGGCCCACTCCGCTCCAAGGTTGCTTATTCCTCTAGCAATGTTTTTTTTTTTTTTATATAAAAAAAAATAAAAATTTTAACAAAATTTGATTTGAAAATTCCATTGAAACTGTTTGAGCCTTAAAGCCCTGTGTATGTTTCATTCTTCAAAGGATCACAAAACTTCTGTGGAATTTTATTTTTGTTTAATTTTTCAGCAAGATTTCATTACGAAATATAATAACAATGGTGAAAAGGAAACGGAATTTTGAAAAAGAAAGTTAAATAGCTATGTCATTCAAACCAGAAGACTATCCCATTTACACCATCAATCACCAATTTACATGCAAAAAAAAAAAAAAAAACAAGCATAGTATCATTCATGGCTTCAATGGAATCTTTGTCGCTTGCCTGCTGGAATGTAGTAGTTGTTAGCATTCGCACCTTCAGGTATCAATCGCCCACTGCCCAAACACGAACCAGAAGCTCCACTAGCAAAATTCAACATAGACGTTGTTGACAACATTTCAGAAGAGCCACAAGACATCTCAATATATGACGTTGAGTTCGGTGGTTTTGGCACACGGCTTGGATTTGCAGCTGGTTTTTGAGTGACAATTTCAGCATCATACCCTCCTATGGAAACAGGTGGAATATGAAATGTTTGAAGAGGAGGAGGATTACGCCACCGAGGAAGCGGCCCAGCAACCAGAAGAGTCTGAAGAAGGGTCCCTGCCTCAAGAACAGCTTGTAAGAGTTTCCCTTTCTGAGGCAGAGCTTTTCCCTTCACAATACTATCAATTACCAAAGAACCCTGATCAATTTTAGGTGTTCCTGAAGAGACTGGGTTGCTTGAGACAATGCCAGTATAGTCCTGAACAAAGGGCTGGTTTACAAATGCCATGTTACTTGAATCAGACATGTTTATGGTAGAGAGCTCGGGGGATGAGACAGCATCAAAGAAGGACTCAACTGGAGAAGAACCGTGGGACTGGTAGTTGTATGCATCAGAGAGGCTGTTTGATTCGGTTATGCTTGAGTTGGCTTTGGTGGGTTTGATGAGAGGGCTCTCGGGTTGGAACTGAGGCGGAGGTGTGAAGAATTCAGTGGAGGCAGTGGAAGGTATGACCTTGTTTAGTAGTTTCTGAAGATTGTCTCTTGCTTCGTCTCTTTCTTGGCAAGCCATCTTTAGAAGCTGCAACATTTGCTTCATACATTCTTTGTTTTTTCTCATCTCCTCGTTTGCTTCTGATTTCACTGATTCCAGTTCAAGAATGGTACACAGAAGCTTCTGCTTCAATTCATCAAGGTTCTGCAAATCCAGACAAATTCAATGAGAGAGAGAGAGAGAGAGAGAGAGAATAATTCACAACAAACAAAATCCTAATAAAATGAAATCTACGAGATGCACATAGCATCAAAAATAAGAACACGTACTTCAAAATATAACATGAATTACTGGTTAAAATTTTCTTTCTCGACTCCTGTCCAGTAATTACTTGGTAAATATGGGACGAAATGACTTATATATGTACAGAGGTTAGTTGGGGAAAAACCCCAAACACTCGGTGAGCAAAAAAAAAAAACTGTTTCAAAATCATTACATGAACAATAAATTCAAAGTTAGGAGGAACAGTACAATCCCAACACAAAAGAACACATAGTCAAACCATGCTCTACTTTATTGAATTAAAAACTATGAGGAGAAAAATGAGTTAACACCATTGGATTCCAACCTCAAAATGGGCATAGGGTTCTTTTAATGATTACTTCATGAAATATCATGTGTTTCAATCAATAACACCCCCCCCCCCCAAAAAAAAAAAAAAAAAAAAAAAAAAAAAAGATTCCAACTTAGAAGTCTTAAAGGAGACATGTTTCTTTACAGAGGAGGGGGGGCAAGAAATTCACCTCTTTACCAAACAAAACCAACAGAGAATTGACATCATAGTCACTAAAGTAGTGAAATTATATAAGGTTTTGTATGTGAACAAGACATGCGAAGACATTCTAAGTTAACAAACTTTGACAAGATTGCAGGACATGGAAATACATTTGTGTAGAAGAATGTAGCAAATTCATCCAGATTTCCTCATACCAGCATTCAAAAAGCTGTTTAAAAAAGTAAAAAACAAGTAATAAACTTGAAGTCAATTAAGAGAAGACCAAAACCAGTTACAAAATTCAATTGACTCGACATAAAGAAACTGAAATTCCAACCAAAAAGATGATTCTACAGAAAGGGGAAAGGAAAAAAAAATCCAAGCAAAATCTTGAAATGAATACAAGTATACAGTAGGAGAATCTGTACATTGAAAGAAAGCTCAAATGGAGAACCAAACAAGTACACCAATTAACAGTACCCAGAAGAGAATGAACTAAAAAGACTGACAAAATCGAGAAATGAAGAGTGACCCACCTCTTGATAACTCCATAAAGAAGACATATCTTCCATTTCTCTCTCTTTCTTTCTCTCTATGTCTCAATTCTGTGAGAAAAAGGAGCAAATGCAGAGCAATTAGGGGAGTTTGGAAAGAGGAGGGTAGTGAGTCATTTATAGAACGAAGGTCTCAATACAAGACAAACAGAGACAGAGCAATGGCTTTCCCACAAGCTTCCAAAATTTTAATAAGGAATACTAAAAACCTTCCAATTATAAAAATTAAATTAACAGAAATAAAAATAAAATTAAAACCCTCTCTCTCTCTCACTGTAAAAAACTGAAATGCATTTTGGAATTGCCTCCCACTATTTTAGGGACTCTGTCTCTTGCTATAAAAACATCACACTCTATGCTTTTCTCTGTTTCTCTCTCTCTCTCTGCTCTCTCACATGGTGGTCAATTACTAAATCCAGTTAGATTTTCCTAATATGCCTTGACAATGAAACGGTTGTTTTCTTTTTCTGTAGGTGAATATATATATAAGAAAAACACTGTTGTTTACGCGGTTTTATTTGTTAGAAAAAGTGTTGTTTCCTAAAATACCCTTAGGACCTTTTGGTTTGATTTGAAGTCTCCTTTCGGCGTCATTGGCTAGAGGGGCAAAACTAGGATCCATCATGAGCCATGGTATCTCATGATTTTATTAGGTGAACAAGAATAAAAAATTGATGATTATTACTGTTAAATCATTTGGTCCAATGATACATGTTTTCCTTAGGCAAAGCCTATATGTCCAAAAAAATGTTTCAGAAAAAAAACCCTAGAACAAAGGGAATTGGAGTTGCCATTGTGAGTGCAGTCGATAGGGTTTATTTTGAAATCTATTTTGATAATTTGAATTGTTCAATTTTTAAAATATATCAAGTAAAATGTATTTATAAAAAATTAAATTGATCGCATATTAATAACTCTTTCATTGAATTACATTTGTATTTAAAAAATAAATGATAAATATAATTTCAAGTATCTAATCTTTTTGATATGGTTATTTTTTAGCATACATCACATCCACCCTGTGTGTATATGGTACGAGAATAAGTCATGAATTTTATTATTAAAATTTTTTATGAAAAAGGGTTGAACTAATAACGCTAACCACCTAATCCAAATTTTACCAATTAAAATTAACCTTATTAGTTCTAGATTTTACCTAAGTCATAATATTTCAAGTTGATTAATTTGTAATGAACATTTTCATTGTTTTTAGTCACTTCAAAATTCTCTCTCTACAATAGTACTTTTCATTTTAATTTTTTTTATTTCATTTAAAAGAAGTGGTATGTCTATAATAGTTTGGCCGATGGTATTGTCAAAGAGTGAAAATATAAAAATAAAAAAATAGTTCCTCAAAAGTTGAGTTTTTGCTCGATTATCAAAATAATTCCTTGCAATATCTAGTCAATAAATTATTGCTATATAATAATAATAACTTAAACCTTGGGATTTATAATTACCCAATTTTTAAAATAAAGAATGAACCCCATTTTAGTTGGATTATTATCTTAGGGGGAGGTGTACTAGATTGCCTTGTGAACTGCCCAAGAAAACTGAAAATAAACCATTCTATGCTATGCTATGCTATGCTATGGAGTTGACTTTATTTAACCCATTTTTAATTCTATATTTTTTTTGGTAACTTTTTTTTCACATAAATTATATACAACCGGCACACGGTTTTAGCTGTTAAATTTCTATTTTGATAAATTTTTTTAGGTTGTCCAATGTTGAAATTAAATGTTCAACATAAAATTTGAATTGATTACATTTATTATATGGTATTAATCTTAACCTATAAATACATATCGATGGTCAACTGCGCCATTTCAAAGAGTTTTTTAACCTTTTTATTTATCAATTATAATAAGTTTTTCTTTTCTTGACATGGAAATTTTTGCTATTTACTTCTATTGTTTAGCTGGACTAATAAGAAAAGTAGAAAAAATTTAGGATTTGAAGCCACCGTTATGCCTCTCCGATTTTGCTTCCCCGTGAGGCTCACTCCCGTCACCTTTATGATTTAAATAGTTTATCTGGTAAGATTTGTTGAGCAAATTATTAATAAAAATTCAAGTTGATTAGGTATCAATATTTATTTTAAAAAATTACATTTGTTTCCTATTTTTTTTTTAAAGATAAATGTGATCCGATTATATGTTTACCGATGTTCAATCAATTTAATTTTTTACATAGATTATTTCTTTGTGAGTCCTAAAAATGAACAATTTGGATCATAGAGATTGACTCGAAGTAGGCTCCACCGAGATATACACCGGTTATTTTGATTATACCAAATACTCAGACACATGCTCCTAAAAAAAATAATTATCATCCCGCATAAAATGCAGCAAATGGGGATATGCCCTAACAAGTATTTGATAAGGAATTTTTCATTAGATTAACATTAAAAGTATATTTTATAAATATATATATATATATCCATGCCACAATCCTCCATTCATGAAGTTATCAGGTTCAAACAAGACGCCCAACCTTAATTTATATAAAATGCTTACATACATACAACTATTATCCTACAACACCAACCTGAGAAAACCTTGGTCTGACAAAGAAAATGAACATGGGTGAGGTATATCTCATTCAAAAAAAAAAAAGTTGGAATTAATTATATTTATTTTCTATGCCTCGAACAAGCGGTTTCGGCACTTCTCCCCTTATTTTTATAATCAATATTTTAAATATATTTTTGTTTTGGATGATAATAACACAGTCGTGAACATTACAGATGATCCATACTGTGGGGATATAAAAATTTTGAATAACGACACGTGGCCGAGGTGTCACCAAAGTGCCAGCTGAGGTGCCACGTGCCCTGGTCATGACGCCGAGGTGATCTCGGCAAGGCCGAGGTTATCTCCGAAAATACCAGAATCCGAGATAAGCGGATAAGGGACAAGAGTCCTAGAATGGGAGAAGACTTCAGTTTGGGTAAAGATGAGACTCTTAGAGAGTTTATCTTAATTCTACTGGGAGTCCAAGGTTAGCAGTAATCTTAAGTCCATTAGAGCTAGGCTTCTATTGGGACTAGGATTGTGTTGGCTATAAAAGGGAGACACCCCCATGGGTCTAAGGTATGCTTTTGATATTCTGTCTAGTGAGTTAAGCACTATTGGTTATCTTTGAGAGATATGGAGTACTGACTTGATCGTCGGAGTACCCCCGGGTGGACGAACTACCGTCGGAGTATCTTCTTTCTGTTGCAGGTCAGCCAGGTGTCATCTATTCTGCCAGTGTTCTCCAGCTGAATACTAAGTTGGGCTGTGTGATCAGAAAATCACTGACACAATTTGGCGCCGTCTATGGAAACGAAAAGAGAATAGATGGCCAACGATAGACCGAAAGAGAAGGTTGGAGACGACACCCCTACTGAAAGTGAGAAACATATTGACCTTGGCGTCGAAGAAGACAACTACAACGAAGAAACTCATGCTACCGTCGGAGTATCTTCTTTCTGTTGCAGGTCAGCCAGGTGTCATCTATTCTGCCAGTGTTCTCCAGCTGAATACTAAGTTGGGCTGTGTGATCAGAAAATCACTGACACAATTTGGCGCCGTCTGTGGGAACGAAAAGAGAATAGATGGCCAACGATAGACCGAAAGAGAAGGTTGGAGACGACACCCCTATTGAAAGTGAGAAACATATTGACCTTGGCGTCGAAGAAGACAACTACAACGAAGAAACTCGTGATAAGAATCACGGAGAAGAGGATGTTAGCCAGGAGGGATTATAACGAAGACGACCTCCAGCCACTATTCCCGTCACAAGATACGCCGATTCTAGCAGCCAAGAAAGATGCCCAGGCAGGGGGGCATAAGACAACTCCTACGACTCCTCAGCACGATAGGACCAAGGAACATTCTCACCGGACTTCAAGGGAGGTCGGACGAGGAGAATCAAGAATGGGAGATTCACAGAGGACACATCGCACCAAGGAAGCTGACTCCAAAGAAAATCGACATGTTCAGAGGAAGGACCTCTGTTTCGACGCTACCAATGAAGGGAGGTCCAAAAGGACTCGCAATGACACAAGAAGTAGTGCACCAAAGAGGCTAAAATTCGGAGATAGCCGAGCTCCTGGACGAACTAAGGAGGATCTAAGGGATTACCTCCAGAGAAAGCGACAAGATGCCGAGGTGACCTCATCTGTCAAGCCGAGATAACACTGGATATAAGAAGATAAGAGCTCAACCCAAGTAAGTCGATCCCGGATTCCAAATCTCCGATCCCGGATTCCAAATCTCGGATCCCAGATCCCAGAAGACAAGATCTCGGCCTAAGATGATTAAGTCCAAGAAGAGAAGAGTTAACCGAGATTATGTTTAACACTTGTTGAAATTTGTGGACAATTTACAAGTTGAAGTTAAACCGAGATCATTGTTTAACACTTGTTGAAATTTTGGACAATTTACAAGTTGAAACCGAGATCATTGTTTAACACTTGTTGAAATTTGTGGACAATTTACAAGTTGAAACCGAGATCATTGTTTAATACTAGTTGAAATTTGTGGACAATTTACAAGTTGAAGTTAAACCGAGATCATTATTTAAACAATGATTGAAACTTGAGAAAAAGTTTACAAGTTGAAGTAAGACAAATGATATGTCTTGTACTTGTTAAAATTTGTGATAAATTTACAAGTCAGGGCTAAGGTTGTATCAAATTAAAGTACTTGGGTACTTACCGATGTAAAACATCAGTTTGTATAACGGAGGTGTATCACCCCGAGAAGATTGCACGAGGATTGAAGTATGGAGGCATACAAAGCAAGCATGCAAGCATTCAAAAGCAAAAGAGTTGTTGTATTAAAAACACATCGGCAATGTGAAGAGTTTACATTATTTCAAAAAGAAAACAAAGTACAATCTAGTGAGGGAAAGACGCATGACTGAAACGGTTGGGTTGCTGTGCGTGACAGCTTTCACGCGTGATGACACTCTTGGAGTTCTTGATTCAATGAAGCAAATACCTCGGCTAGAAGGATGGTTTCGGCTGAGAAACTCGAACAAAGCTTGGTTGTTAGTTCCAAAACATTGATGAAAGCAGACTATATGTCTTAGTCATATTGAGCCTACGAGTTCTGACTTCAGCAACAAATAATGGAGTAAGCTTAGCCGATATGCTAAATTTGAAGAAATGATATAGGTTCCATCACCTTAGGATGCTGAGGTAATAGAACCTAGGGAGCAATTGTGGGGACATAAAAATTTTGAATAACGACACGTGGCCGAGGTGTTACCGAAGTGTCAGCCGAGGTGCCACGTGTCTTGGTCATGACGCCAAGGTGATCTCGGCAAGGCTGAGGTTATCTCCGAAGATACCGGAATCTGAGATAAGCGGATAAGGGATAAGAGTCCTAGAATGAGAGAAGACTTCAGTTTGGGTAAAGCTGAAACTCTTAGAGAGTTTATCCTAATTCTACTGGGAGTCC